AAAAAATCAATCCCTTTTTTTATACTCCTCTCTTTATCTACTGTAACATTCCCTCCATCCTCCTTCCTATTTGCCAGCCCTCTATACTTTCTTCTATCCTTTTTTCTTTTTTATCGCGACACTATCCGATATAAACATTTCAATCTTCCTCTTTATCTCTATTACCGTGCCGCTGTTCCAACCACCACCACCACCACCACTACCACCACCACCCACCCACTCACCCACCACCATCGCGAAAAGCAACGCAAGCTTTTCTACATCCTCCTTCCACCCACCCACTCACCCGTCTGTTTTCCCTGTTCCCTTTCTACCTTCCTACCTTCCTTCCTTCCTTCCGTTTACCCCCCCCTCCCTCTCTTTAAAATCCACCACCAGAAATTACGCGGAGGCTTACCTGCCGTCCGGCGTAACACCTGCGGCTTTCCCATTCTCTCCCCTTTCTCCTGCACCCCCGCCACAAATCCTACTTCGCTCTCCCATCCCCCCTGCCTCCTCCTCCTCCTCCTCCTCCTCCCCTACACGTTCCCTGATGTTTTATCATCCTTCTCTACCACTCGTCCTCGTTACGTGGATTATCGATTTTACGAAAGAACCTCCGAAAGGATCCTCGTTATCGTCATTACGATCGTAACCATTAATATTTTCTCTATATTGTTACTTGATTTTTCATTTAGAAGTGTTTTGTGTGTTGAAGGTATAATAATATATTTCAATGAAATATGATTTGTTCTAAGTTATCGAAATATCGATTGATTAAAGATATCGTTCAACGTTAAACGTCTAAAGTTGAATTAATTAACATTTATGTTAATCTGAATGTGATGATCTATCGTCAAAGAAATTTTTCATAAGAATTCACTTTATGGGAAAAGTGGTGGTGATACACATTCATGATACAATAATTCAGACCACCTCCTCTCTCACTCGTTACGAACGTTTTGCATGCAATCACATAATTCTATTAATAATTTTTCTAAAAATAATAAATTATTAAAAAATTGAAACAAGAAAGTAAGTTTGTAATCACAAATAAAAATAAAGATGAAAAATATCGTTGGTTACGATCATAGGACATGATAAATATATTTGATCTGGTAACATGATATTTATAGAATCAAATTGAAATGTAGTTAACAAATGATCGAGATCCTTTCAATTATTTATCTATTTTTCGGGGGATAAATCTATTAATATATAAATTTAACAAAAGAGATCAAAAATAATTATCGAAAGATAAAGAAGGTGCAAGAGAGGAGAAAGAGAAAGAGAGAAAGATAAAGATAAAGATAAAGATAAAACAAAGTCTTTAATTAATAACTAAAAACAAAGAGATTACAAAGGAAAAATAGGTATCGTTTTACAATGGTTTCTATCGAGCTTAAATAACGAAGAAAGGAGAACATTTTTTGGATTACGAGGAGAATCCGATCGTCTCGTACGGATCCATTAAACGAAGGAAAAACTCAACAACGGTCATTCAAGAAGCACTCAAGGAAAGTTGAGCTTACAATCGGGTGTACCAGCTTGAGAGGAAAGATAAACGTCAAGAATCTTTCTCTCTCTCTCTCTTTCTTTCTTTCTTTCTTTCTTTCTCTTTCTTTCTTTCTTTCTCATCTCGCGAATTAAAACTACTTGGCTAATGGCTCGGATGCGGTCGAATGACGCTCGACGAAATAAAATACCCCCGTGAAACTTCTTATTCAGACGCTGTCGTTTCCGACACCAAGCCTCAACTCCCCCCCTCTCTCTCTCTCTCTTTTTTTCAACACCTATTCAACCTTTCTTTTTTCTACGATCATCGTTGGAAACTGAGACACGTTTGCAAACGAACTGACGATTTTTTATTTTCCCCCCCCTTTTATAACTCACGATTTATCTATTTCAATTATTCATGTGTAAATTGTAATATAATGTAAATCGAATAAAATTAGATTAAATAACTTTGGCGTTTAAAATAAGAACATATATATATATATTTGACGATGAGATATGTAAAGGGTTGGTATCCGTTTGATTATCGATCGATACGCATAGAAAACTCGATGTCCAATTGACCTTTCACTCCGTATCACCATCGGACTAGTTTCGACAGCTGTCATGGCAGGTGTTTGTTAAAAAAAAAAAAAAAAAAAAAAGGATCATGAACATCTTGAAAAAGTCGGTCGAAAGAATATATATATATATATACTGATATGAATAGATATTTACACATATACATATACATATATATATATGTATATATATATAAATTTAAATACTTCCATGATATATTACAAAAAAAAATAGAACTAAAGCACTCATCGATATTTTTCGTCAACGTGCCAGGTCATTATTCGTTGAAATGTGAAAGGTAACATAAAACAAATTTTCGGAAACAACATCGATAAGAGAAAGAGAGAGAGAGAGAGAAAGAATACAATAAATTTCGAAAGCATACGAATTACATTATAATGCGAAATAACGTGTACACAATAAACTTGTTGTAATACGAGTTAGTACGTAAATTTCGATAGACGTCGAGGAATTGTTTAACGTCACAATCGACGACAAAGATTCTCTTGAATTTTCTCTTTAATAATAAGAGCAAATGCTACGGCGCTTGTTAACAACGGGTTGAATGAAAAACTTCCTCTCTCTCTCTCTCTCTCTCTCTCTCTTGGTCTTCATCTCTCTGTCTTTCTTTTTCTCTCGTAATTCTGATTTTTGCATTTTTGTATCTTTTACTTTGTTTTTTTTTTTCTTTTCTTTTTCATCGGTACGCGATGAGAAAGTGGACGACGTAAAATTATTCGCATGGCCGAAGTCAAGTGTTTCGACCTATAGAAAAAGATAGAGATAGGTGAAAAGGTAAAAGAGTGTGTGATAAAAAGAGAAAGAGAGAGAACAGAGGAGCTATAGCAACGCGTGCACGTTAAATCTTTATCACTACATAACTCGCACCATTCGGCTTCTCTTCTCCCATTTCCATAATTTATTTTTCACATACTACTGCATCATATATCCCACACACATATACGTTAGGTAAATACTTATGCCCGTGTATGTTCCACCGCGTATACTCGCATGCCCATGCATGTTTCACCTCTATGCTTGAAGTGCCACACGTATTATGCCAGCTGTGTTTATCGTAACATCGGTAAAGCGCAATCGTCCTGTTCACCAGTGTAAATTTATACGACTATGGTGGGTTAAATATTATCCGGGAATATTTCGATGGGAAGGAGGTGGGAACAGGGGAGGAGGACGGACGGATGAACGGAGAAGGATTGAAATAAAACAATAAAAAAACACCCTCCGTTTTCAAAATAAAAAAAAAACAAACAGGAAGGAAAAACTGTAAAAGAAGAGAACAAAACATATTGCATATTTGTATATATATAAAAGGAAGTTTTGAGGATTTGCAGTTACGTGTTTGACGTTTCGTATTTTCCTCCCTTCCCTACTCAATTCTCACCTTTAATTTGATGTTAGCCGTTCTCATATGTTTCGAAGTTACTACCCCAAATCGTGTATATCGAGTTAGCACGATATAAACGTTAGAAATGATTTATCCATTCCTCGATACTGGGAAGTGAGGAAAGAAAGAGAGTGGAAATGGGGAAAAGATTTGATTGTTCAGGAAATACTTGACATACGAACGTGTTCTAGTTTTATTCTTATCTTCCAAATTTTGTTCCCTTTAATAATGTAACAATATAATTTTAACTGACTAGACACACACGGAAATAGGTTGATTTTTCTATAAGAGATAAACGTTAGAACAAAAGATCGTTTAAAAGGAAAAGAAGAAGAAGAAGAAGAAGAAGAAAAAGATTAAGAGAAAGGGGAATAAATAAAAAGATGAAATCCTTTTTGTGTGTGTTGTAAGGGTCGAACGTGCCAAATATGGTTCCCCTTGACCTCGCAAACCAGCCCATCGTTCGTTCATTCGTTCGTTCGTTCTCGTCGTCACGCCGCCGGCAGCAAAATTACCGTGCAAACGCAATTGCAAACGCTCGCGCAAATACGATTCAAAGGGTAGAGGCAAGAGAGAAAGAGGGTTGGAAAGGTTCGAGAGGGTAGTAGTAGTAGTAGTAGTAGTAGTAGCAGCATTCACTGTGGTGTCTTCTTCGAACAGAGAGAAAGATAAAAAGAGATAGAGGAAAAAAGGGAGAGTGGGAGAGAGAGAGAGAGAGAGAGAGAGAGAGTAAGGAAAAAAGATAGAAAGAAAAAGAGAGGACAAACGCAAAGAGGGAGAGAACCATCCGACCGACAAAATGACGCTCAAACTAAATTTCGCAAGAGTTTTGTGTTATTCTCTGAGACTTTTAATAATAGACTTCAGCGCGTTGACCGAGACAAAGATAAAAATTAAAATTATATATATATATATCTATATGTACACACACATATACCACCACATATTATATAGGTATACAAAATGTGGATAGATCGAATATTTTGTCAATGATACGAATTAACGTGTCAAAATTATTCACAACATTTTCCCAAGCGCCAATTTCTTTTTTTTTGGTTTTTTCGCCTAAAGTATATTCGACAAATTTCATCTTTTTTTTTTTTTCTTTTTTCTTGGTCATCGATCAGAAAAATATCATTTATAAATGATTTTTTTTTTTTTTAAATATTCTACACAGTTTTAATCCGTCAACTGTATACGTTCTTCCAACGAATACTAATTCCATTCGATTGAAAGTAATAGTAAATATATATTATATATAGATATATGGATTTTTTTTTTTTTATAAGGGAATGAAAAATACACGAAAAATAAAAAAGGAGATAGAAAAAGACGACAAAAACGTTTGACGTTGGAACGAGTAAATTTTATACGCTTTTACCCGCTCAACTTTTCGACCGACCGACCAATTCCACCCCCTCCCCGGCCACCCCATTTATTTTTTTCCTACAATTTTTGTCTATTCCAACATTATTATACAACGAACGAGAGAAAAAAAAAAAAACACAACATAATTAATAATAATCGTGATATCACTTACCTCGCGTACGAAATGAGACCTCGTATATTTAGTAGAACTCGTGATCCTTGCCATTTGACTTTTTAATCTGTTTTTTTCTTCTATTTTTTTCTTGGACTGTCGCCGTTTGAATTATTTGTTTTTTTTTTTTTTTTTTCGGTTTTCGTCTTTTCCTCCCTCACGACTTCCGATGATGACACTTTTTCCTCTTCATCGCGAGAAGCCGAACACGCGTCCTCGTGTCGTGTCGTGTCATGTCGTGTCATGTCATGTCATGTCATGTCGCGTCGCGTTGCATTGCGTTGCATTACGTTGCATTGCGTTACGTTGCGTTAGGGTTGCGTCACGTGCGATACTCGCCGACGAAGGGACGAGCCACGTGACGTGTTTCCTTCGCACCCGCATTTCTCCTTAGCAAGAAGAAAGATAGAAAGAGAAAAAGGGATATATATATCTACAGGTATATAGATACAATATACTAAAAAAAAAATAAAAAAAAAAAAAAGTAAAGAACAAAAGAAAAAGACGAAGCTACCATTATTATTGCGAGAAATCTATCTATCTATACTTATTACCCTTTCGTTGGTTCTCGTTTAAAAAAAAAGAAAAAAAACATTTAAGTTATCTAATCGAAATTGTTTTTATTGTGTCACACATCGTCAAAAACACCTGCTTCACGAATTATCTTATCTTTTTTTCTTTATATCTTCTCATTTTTTTCGTATATATACCTTTTACGCAAGTTAACGTTTCTTTTTGTTTTTAATTTATTACCATTTTTGTTTTTTTTTTTTTGTTTAAATTTCGTCACACACCCTCGGCCAAACTCGAGTCGCGATCAAAATTTGTTTTAAATGTTTCTCTTTCTTTTCTTTTACAAAAATATGCAATAGGAAAGAAAATATAAAGAAACAGAAAAAAAAAAAACTCTTCTTCTCTCAATCATCTTACAGCTAATCTTCGCGATCCTCGAAATAATTATCGTTGAAAATAAAAAAAAAAAAGAAAGGAAATATCTGTTCACCGTCACTGAAGAAGATCCAGAGAGATCCAGATCAAAAGTTTTATATATATATATATATATTTCCCGCACTTATCTATCTTATCTATTAAAATTTTTAACAATATTTAAAACAAAAAATTACTGCAAAAACAAAAAAATAGAATCGGAATAAAATAAAAAATGAAGAAAAAAAAAACAAAAAGATACGTAAAATATGAAATACGTGAATGTAAAATAAATTTTCAACCCTCACTTTTTCTCTCTCTCTCTCTCTCTCTCTTTCTCTCTATCCTTTTTCACGAAATTTGAAAAAAAAAAATTAAAACAACCAAAAAAAGGAAAAAAAAAACAAACGAAAAACGTGAAAAAGATAGAATAAATAAATCGTGCCAAGTGTATACATATATACATTGTACATATATATATATGTATATATATAGTATATATATACATATAGTTATATATAATGTATATACATATATATATATCTTTTTATCTCTCTTTCTTTCTCTCTTTCTTTCTTTCTATCTGAAGGGGTAGGTGCTCGAGGGTGCCCCGAGGACGTTCTGCGGCCTCAACGAAAGCGGACGATAGACTGAAGCGCTTTTAGGATCGCAAGAAGGATCGTGTGGGACGGTCGTCGACGATCGGGAGTGGCTCAGAACGAGGGGAGTTACGAGAACGCAGGCGCACCCCCGTTTTTCCAACAGCCATAAACCCCACCACGTAAACTACTACCCTCTCTTTCTCTCGATTCTAGGAGCTGCGCCCTCTGACGCACTGCTTCTCGCAAAAGGGTGCCCCTTGCATAGGTGATATGAGACACCTACGCACATACATATATATATAGAATACGTTTCTATACATATACATGTATACATACGTATGTGGCGTACTTAGTTACATACATATGTGCTGCCCTTTGCTATATCGCCTTTCCTACTCCATTCGGCATGTTGAAGATGAAGAAGGGGTGGGGATAGTTTGGTGCTTCCAAGAATAAGAGGAGAAGAGAGAAAAGTAGGGGTTGGAAGGGCTGATGTACCACCACCAATACCTATTGTTACTATTACACCCATTACTACTATTTCTACTAGTATTTTTGTTACTATTATTATTATTAATATTACTACTATTAGTATTACTATTAGCCTATTATTATTCTTTATTTCTTCGAGCCTCCTTCTTACTACTAGTATCGATATCGAAGTTCTTCTCTTCTCTTCTCTTCTTCGTGAAAGGGAAATGGACGATAGGAGGAACTTATTATGTCTCCTTCTTTCATCATTCTCTTCGATGTTCGAACTTGTGAGAAAATTGAAAACTTCTTTTTTCGTCTATTCTTTGTTACTTGTCTATCTTTTTTCTTCGTCTTACACCTACCACCTCTTATTCTTTTTTTCTATTTATACTTCCGTTATTTTTCTATCATTCTTTCATTTTACATATCTTTGTTTTAATATTTTTTTTAGGACGAATACAATTGCCTTCAATCTTACATACCCTAATAATGTGAATCTATGATTTCAATTATAATTAAAATTAACTTAGTTATTCGTATATTATGAACATTGTATTTTTTGTTGTTGTTGTTTTTCATTTAAAAGTAATAGTAAATCACACATGTAGACGAGAACGCGCGTACGATGATATTAATAAAGTAGAATTATATATGAATCGGCAGGATAGTGACAATTAACAAAATTAAACAAATTAATATGAAAAAGAAAGATCGTATTATACGTATATATGCAATTATGAAGTTATAAACGTAGTTGTTGCGCATCATCACGCTCTTTGATATTATTTGATCTTTTTTTCAAATATATCCTAGCGCAAGAGAAGATATTTTATATTTTATACGCGAAATATCAAAAGAATGTCTTTTTCCATGGCTACTTTTAAACCGATTGTAACGTTACTACCGAAATAACTGGACGATGACGTAAGGAGAGTTTTATTCAAAGTCAAAGCGATATTAACGTTTGAATCCCCATTTTACGTAGAACTAAAATAACAAAGTATAAAAGAAAAAGGAAAAACAAAGAAAAAAAGAAAAATATGTGTGTAGATATTTATTAATAATATTTCTAATATATTTGTTTTTATTTTATTTTATTAATAATAATAATAATATATATAAATAATGTGTGTTCTCTTTTTTTAACATACATAGAGAGAATATGTATAAAACATGTGTTCTTTATATACACGCGTATAAAAGAGAAAGAAGAGAAAGGTTGAAAAATGTCGATGCAAAAGAATTGGTGCGACGGACGACGGTAAAAGAAAAAGAGAAAAGAAAAATAAAAGGGAAAAAGAAAAAGAAAAAACGGGAGAGAAGGGAAAGAGAGACTAACACAGACTAACCAGATTCCTCAAAGGTTCCGCGGGTAAAGCATCACGATTTTTCTGTTCGATCCTTTGAAACGAAGGAACTATACGTCAGGGCAGCACATTCCTAAATGCTGTTTCGAAACTGAAAATCCTTTTAAACAAAAAATCTACGTGTAATATATCGCGTCCTATTCGCGAATACGATATGAAACATTTATTTATTTAAAAGTTCGAAGTGTCGATAATTCTGATAAGATAAATATGTGTTAATAATTACAAAATTAGTAAGATATAATTATTATTCTATTTATAAAATTAACACATTTTTTTAAGACAAATATTTCAATTAACAAAACAATGTATATGTGAAAGTGGTATAAATAAAAAAAATTGAAAATATAAAATTGAAAATCACATACATACATATATATATACACATACATATTTATATATAAAATATCTATTTTATTTCTATTAAAACGTATAACGAAAAAATGAAATAAAAGACGCTAATGTAATTTAATCCACAATCTTTTATCAATCCCTTCTTAACCGAAACAAAAAAAAGAACAAAAACGAAAAAATCTGAACAAATAATTATTATTAGAACAACTTACTTAAATATGAGTAAGTAAGTAATATCTCTAATATATCAAATTACGAATAAGAGATCGTATTTAAGTATTTATTTACTACATTAAGAAAAAGGGCCTAATCATATGGTAGTCATTATAATAATAATAATTATTAAGTAATTATAATTATAATAATAATAATGACTTAAACTAGATGATATATGTCAGGATTAGGACGGTGACAAGACCAATTCGATATCGAATGAATGAACATATATTACGAGGCAACCTCGTTTACGTTTTATAGGGGCGACACGGCAAGCACCGTGCGTGTATGTCGTAAGGGCGCGTACGTGCGTGCCTCGTTATACGGGATGTTTATTTTTAAGTACCACCACGATGTACATGGAATTTGAATGAGTCCACTCAAAAAGAAATATTATTCACATCCTTTTATTTTTTCTTTCATTGTATTCTCTCTCTCTCTCTCTCTCTCTCTCTCTCTCTCTTTTGGCAATTATGAATTTCGTAATAGGAAAATTCACGAATCTCTTATAAATAAAATATTACAAACAAAAAAAAAAGATAATATTTTTCCTTCCAGAAAATTGTCTGAAAAAGAAAAATTCATTTCTAAAACTAATCCTCGACGCGAATAAATATCATCTATCTTTTTTTAAACCTATGGATAGGATATTTATTTATATATATATACCTAAAAGAAAAATAAATTAAAAAGGAAAAAGTGCAGATAAAAAAGTAGAAAGAAAGTAACAAAAGAAAAAAAAAAAAGACCAACTCTAAATAAAAAGGAAAAGAGACGGACAAATATGAAAAAATGCAAATCATAGCTTTCGCGAATGAATCGGCTTGACTCAACCACCTACCAACTAACTCGCTTAGTAAAAATAATAAAAAAGAAAAAAAAAAAAATATAAAAACACAGAGACAGAAAAAGAGACAGAGAAAAACAGAGAGAGAGGAGGAGGAGGAGGAGACTGACGCACGAGTATTTGTATCTTTCTCTTCACTCTCTCTCTCTCTCTCTCTCTCTCTCTCTCTCTATACCCAGCGGTGTTCTAACGAAAATTAGCGATAATTGGCTGGAAAATGAACATTTGTGGCGGATTAAAAGGGGAGCTTCATAGAGTCCCGCAAAACCGAGGCTATGGCCACGTACGTGCCCGATTCTGCGTTCCTGCGGTGTCATAAAACCGGTTCGTGGTCTGTAATTTGTAATGAATACGGCTCTAACTAGCCCTCTCTCCTCTCACTCTCTCTCACTCTCCTATCTCACTCTCTTTCTCTCCACTATCTATCTTTCTTTCTCTCTCTCTCTCACTCGTCTCTGTGTCGACCAAACCACCGCCACTTCGCTTGACGAATCGCGCTCGAATGGACGAGGGTGCGTGTATGATAACAAGAGTGAGTGAGTGAGTGAGTGAGTGAGTGAGTGAGTGAGTTAGATAGAGAAAGATAGTGATAGGCTGGCAAGCAGACAGAGAGAGAGAGAAAGGGAGGGTGGGAGAGGGTGGGAGAG